TAGTGTCCCCGATGCTGTATGAAGGTCGGAAGTGCCCCATACTTGATGACAATCTTAAAATCTAAATTTGTCTGGGTTTGTCATGTGTTTCAAACATGCGTCGTTTTTGAAGAGACGAAACATGAACAAGCCTGAGCAGCAGCTCCACACTGTTTTCAATGGTGGCCTATACTATCCTAAGCTCTTCTTCACAGCCTTTCACGCAAGTCATGTGATTGAAAGCTATGAATTAGTAAGCATCTCCCCTCTGAAATCTTCTTAACATAACCGCAATTAGCATAAATGCTGTGTATTTGTGATGATCAGAACAAAGGATCAATGACCAACACGTAAGTCAGATGTGTGGAGATGTGCACATTTTGGGATATATATTTATTTATTTTTGCTGAGAATTAAAGAGAAGATTGATGTGTTTTGAGCATTTAGATCAGAGTTAGTTAGCTTAGCATAAAGACTGGAACCAGGGGGAGAGGCTAGTCCTGATGCTAAGCTTCTACTTGAGACATTAAATTGCTCTCATCTAATTGTGAAATGAGAAAATAAGTTTTTTTTTTCCAACATCTTAAACAACATTGAAAGGCATTAAAAATACGATATGAAAAATAGTAGAGAAAAAAGTTGATGGAAGAAGATAACTTTCTAATTCAGCTCATTTCCTGAATCCATCTAGTGGCCAGCAGTGGTACTGCACTTCAGACAGCTGCTCTTCTAAAATACATTTGCTTTAGTAGTCCCCTTTAGGGTGGCTAATCACCCTAAAACCAAACTAACATATTTTATTTTCTAGCAGATGTTGCTATTATTTTCTTAATCCAAATATTTTTTGACGACATAACATTTTCCTCTGAGGCATTTTGAACACGGCGTCCATCAGCCCACAGAAAAGGTCAAGAGACACATCGCATAATAATTGCTGTACTGACTGTGTGCACTGAACTAGCTATGATAGCAAACATAACCCAGGGTTTTATTCCACTGAAATGCTGGAGAAGTCTCGGGTGGCTGAGTATGAAAGGTGAGACCTGACAGCAGCCTGTTATTCAACAGAAAGAGATACATTAGCAGCCGCCATTATCATAATGGTATTACAAAAACAAGGTCAACATAAACTCACTGCATGAAAACAACAACCAGCAATAGAGGAAAACAGCATTAAAAGCCACTTCAAGCCACACTTCCACCATGCTGTTGGATGTCAACTGTTTAAGGTGAGATTTCATGAGCTTTTCACAGATGAGCTTTTCACCGAGTCTGGAGAGTGATCCTGCCGAGCAACGCTCTCCTATAATGTCTCGTCTCCTTTTTTATTGCTCTTTAACCTGGGAATACCGGTTGCTGTATTTTGTGTCACTTCTAAATGCTTCAGTATGAAACATTACGTTTTGCTCCTGTTATTTCCATTTTCATCTTTATGAAAAAGGAAATAATCTTAAGAAAAGGTAAAGGGGTGATGATGGATTTGAAGAGTCTAAAAATGTAAATTCTGGTTTGTGTTTTATATTTTGGATTTTGAAAATGTTAAAAAAAACTAGAGCATCAAAAAAAAAGACCAAGTTATACTTTGAGTTTTCTGTTGTATCTTTCATCACTAGAAGTTCACTGGTTTACACAAGTTATATGCCGGCAGCGCCCACAACCTCCTTTTCAGAGCGCTACTCACCAGTGCTCATTGTTGCTAGGTTACGAAAAGTTTACCTCTGCTTCCTCCAGTAATGTCCTTAAGTGTGTTTTAGAAAGCTCATCTTGCTTAATATTTGCTTTGATTCAAGGAAATATCCCAAAGAAAACATGAAAACAATGTAAAGGAGTCATGTAAAGCCAAAGTGCAAAATCCTGCAGTTCATGAAGTGTCTGCTTGAGGCTGACTCCAGGAACACAGGAAGTCACAAACACACAACTGGCAAAATAAACTTGTTTCTAGTGCAGAAATGAACATAGTTACAGCCTGTTACAAAAAAGGATATTGGTTTGATCAGTTATTGTCATCATGGCCACACACTTTAGGGGGGGGTGCATTTTTTACAATGCATCCGTGTTGATTGATTGAACGATATGTTTTATCCAGTTAGCTGACTGAATTCACAGGCAATGTAACTTTTTGTCAAGAGACCCGCCTCAGCTCCAGCTCTCAGCCTGTCAATAGGTTGTCTGAAAGTTAGGCAGAGACAGGATTTCCAGCATGGCGGCTGCTGCCGATGAGCCTCCGGAGCCCCCTGACGTAACAGATTCACTCAGGCTTAGTCCATTAAAACTTTACAGTCTATGTTCTAAACCTGGAAACTGTACCATTGAAAAGACGCGTCAGAGGCTCCTTCGCCATTGTTGCTGACAAAGCTGACATTGATTTTGATTTGTCGGTGATGGAGAAGTGACATTTTAAGCATGGCGCTGTTCTAAATGATGAAATTCGACAACTGATGCCGAGGGCAACGGTGAGCGCTGAAAACGCTGAACTACATTTGAGTTTGTTGTTGATAACGAATCCTTTCAATGCAAAAACAAGAAGCTGTCTGTGAACACAGGCCTTTATGTAGCAAAATACATGTAATAATAATGATAATAATAGCTTTGATTTATATAGCGCCTTTCAAGAAACCCAAGGACTATTTACATAAGTAAGAAGGGGGGCAGTAATAGGAGACAACAAAAGAAGAAATAAAACACAAACAAAGACGAGAAAATCACACAGAAAGGGGAGGGGCCGTATGCAAATAGCTGTAAATATTCAGATTTCAAATGCATCCCTCCCAAAGGATAATATCAGACGCTAAAGGTCAGAGACCCCTTTCTTTAAGTCCAATTATAATGGAAATAAAATGCATGTATTTTTGCAACACCATACATCGAGTCTCTAAATAAATTCCCCTGTGCCCTGTTTCTGACACAACAGGACCAGCATGTCTGTGATGCAGTAACATGCTCATAATGACTGTGTTAACAGGCTCATTTGGTATGTATAATGTTCCCCCCTGTCAGCCATCTCAACATAGCTTGTTAGCATGCTGTGAATATTTGTACTGATACAAAGCGCAGCTCAGGCTGATGGGAATTTCTTCAGTTTTTGCAATAAAAAAATGCATTCGTCAAATTCTTATTGTGACCTGACAAATGTTCTAGATGGGAAATAAAACCAGACAATAATGATGGAGACATTTTGCTGCTTAGAGAATGAACCTCAGTTAATCACATTTATCTTTTCAGGCTATAAAAAATGAATTCAGTGTTTAGTATATTATTCTAGTCCACTCAACCAGTGTCACTTTGCTCCATTTGAATCTAATTGTAGAACTTCCCGGGCATCTCTGCTGAATAAAAAATGACTAAAATAGTATTGCTTCCCAAATGTCATATATGTGGTGCAAGGTTGAACCTTTTGTGTCCCTGGAGTGACCAGGAGTAAGAAACATTAGCCCAGCAGAGCACAGACCTGATCAATCGATGATAGCAGTGGATTAGCTTATAGGTTTAAGAAAATGTAAAGGATTGATACAATTTTGTATTTACATATTTAAAATATATCATGAACAAACTTGCCAACTGCAAAAAAATAAAGCATTTTCTTGAGAGAGAAGCAATCTTGCAATACTTGATTGTAAGTCCCTGCAGATCAACACACATCACAGCATGTTGCTCACGCATGAAGGTCATTCAGAACAGTTTGTCACATAATCAAAGTCATCAAAGATGTGAGGTCATTGTGTCAGACAGAGCAGCACAACAACATGTTTCTCTGCAATTTGGAGTTTGAGAGTCGTTTTTTTGACCAAGCTCTCCATCATGCACACTTACTCTAATGAGCGCTCTCTTTAATACACACATTACCTCAAGTACTCACATGCTAGCACGCAATTAAGGGCTAGATCCTAAAATACAATTATAATTGCCAACAAACGGCATATATTACCACAGACTGTACAGTGTTCATTACACAAGCAGTAACTGAAATGCAACCGTTTTGATTGAGCAGCAAAACAATTAAAAAAAATACAAACGGCTACCTTTATCCTTTTTTGATTTTATGCACAGAGTGTTATTTCACATGAGATCCTGTCTGATATAGTTTTTAATTATCAACTTTTATAACTTTAAAGAACTTCTGAGAGAGAGTGAGGGAGAGAGAGCTTCTATGAATGAGCGAGAGTGAGCGAGTTTGTTTAATCATCTCTCCCGATGTTACTCAGTTTATTAGTGAAGTGTGTGAACAACACCGCAGACTGCAGCCTCTATTAACAGACTGTGTTGGCATTGAGTAAATGATCGCCCCCTACTGGTACGGCACGCCACACAGGTTGTGTACATTTAACGCTCAAGCGAGGCCGTGCATGTCACTGACACACACCCTCTAGTGGACCAATGTCTTTATTACACGCTCTGGCATCATACCGGGTCGCATGACCAGTCGTGTGGTGCAGAGTATACGCAGGTTTACAGAGTATACCCACTTACTTTTCAGTCCTCCATAGATTATACCCACTTCTAAAGCTCCCCCTAGTAGGGATGACCCTTCCTACTCTGTCTCTAATTGGCTAGTACACACTAAGTCTTATGTCACTATTAGCAGAGGCCGTTTACCCTCCGCTGGACGGGACACTTGGTGAAGTATGCTCACTTCTTCAGGCACCACTACACCACAGTTGCACACTGATGCTGTCTTATACTAACAGTTCCAAGGTGTCCATTAATCCTCTCGTCTCCTGTATAACATGAATGCATCCTCACTGCTGCTGTGAATTATAAACTACACACCGGTTATAGGCCGCACCTGGTCGGACTTTGGGTATAAAGTTTGTAGTCTGTAAAATGTTCAAAATCTTTATGAACTGCTTCTGACACTCTATATAGTACAGTATATATAATCCTGAACATTCAAATGAATTAACAAAATACAAATTTATATAAATAAGCATTATATAAATGACTTTTCTTAGCACTCCAGGTATTATATATATATTTTCTATATTTTCTTTCATTCTTGTTTCATTTTGATGTTTTTTACTCACCTTTGTCTCCGTCATTTCATATCCTGCTCCTCATGTTCCCGCCTTGTGTGTCAGCCCCGCCCTGATTACCTTCACCTGTGTCTCATTATCCCCTGATTGATGTAACGAGCCATGTATTGTTTGTCAAGAAGCTTTGTCCAGTATTATTTACGGTCTATGTTTTTTCTGCTATTCTTTCTCTTTCTTAACTTTCTTTTGCACGTCTGTCGATCGAACTTCTTCTACAGTTGGAAGAACTTCACTGGTTTACACAAGTTATGCATCTGCATTATTATACACAGATTCAATAACACTGTGAGCTGAGCTGAAGGCACTAGATGTTCTTCAAACTTGTTCTTTATCTGCCTCTGTACATAACTTTTTTAAACTTTTGTGGATGTGTGTGTGGCTGCATATTATCAATATTATTCTTCTTTGGTTAAGGCAAGCACAAAAAATGTGGTTGAACTACGGAGTGTACAATGATAATAAAGTCATTTTATTCTTTTCTATTTATTACTCATGGTCTGTGACAGTCCCGAATGTTGAATCACCTTCCAAATCCACCATGTCACATAAATATAGTGTTTCATCAAACAATGTTTCATGTTAATACCATTGCATGAGAATCCACTCTGCCAATTTATTTATTATCTTGACTCCAATTGGTTTTTCATGATGGTTAGATTTATTTATTTTAACTTTCCTAGTTAGTTATGAGTTATTGTCAAACCCGCAGTCATACATTTTTATCATTAACAGCGTAGACGTATGTGGAGATATCTTGAATCAATCTTTTTTTAAAACATCAAAAAAGAAACTTCTCACTTTGAAGAATCGAAATAAATGAGAGTTGGTGAAAGCATAGAACATTTTTCCATATTTACAGAGACCTTTCAATTCCCACTTTCCAAAGGTCTGGAAGTCGGTTGCTTTATCTTAAGAGAATGAAGTTTTCATTAATGTTCTGATTCCGGCTAACTCCCCTCCAGACTTTGAGTGTAGCAGCTACCCATCTCTTCTGTCTATTTTCAATGTTTGGTCGTTTTTTATTTCAAGAAATCAAGACGCTTCATGGAATATCTCCTCATTCCATCTTTCTCCACGCTTAAATCCACATTGTAATGTTTCTCATTTGTGCTGCTTGATAATATGCTTGCAGCAAACTTTTCATAGTTTCAGGTATTTCATTTATAGTCTTCATTTCCTTATCATGCCATACATTTGGAAGAGATAAAAAGAAATCTATGAATCGGTATGATTTTCAAACAGGAAATGAAAATGTTGAAGCTTTGCATGTGTTACAACGTGATGTTTCTCCCTGCTGAAAGAAAAGATGCACAATGCAACAAAAAGAGAAAAAGGTATTACTTTCCCCCGACCTTCTCCACCCCTCCAGATCAAAAGTTAGACAACGTGGAGCATGGTAAACCTGGATAAACCAAATTACAAGAATGATCTTGACTCATATGGGCCATCCTGTTTGAACTGGGAAGCTTTTAGAAACATGACATCACAGTCCTCTATTCCTTCCAGAGACCCATGGAGCATGCACACAGTTTCTAAAATCAATTGAGTTTCCCATTCACCAGAGAGGAAGGGCTGTGAATTAATCTCATAAAGAACTATTTAAGCCTTCTTGGAAATGTTGAAGTGCTGAAATCACAGCTAATTAATACTATTGTTGAGATCCTTTAAGAACGTTTTTTTTTTTTGTTCAGGCCGCACCAGGGGGTCGTGGGATTTGATGAGAAGCTGATAAGAGGAAATCACACAATTTTGTGCGGGGACTTTCTGCACAAGGCTGGCCCTGATTCAAACTCCTGAGTCAAAGAAAGAGGCGAACAGAGAAGAATGAGGTTTGATGAGGGAGAAGCAGATAGAGATGGTATGTGCTTTCTATTTGCATCTTCCGCTGTCATCTCTGCAGCGCGCCGGTTTAACTGCTGAACTGGAGAATCCAGCGTATGATGTATTCTTTTGAGTCTTTTTTTTTCTTTGTACGGCTCCATTTCCCCAAGTCAACTGATTCTATGAGGCTTTGTGTGATAAAAAATGCATGAGCTCTCAGATTTGAGATCTAAAATAACAGACTACCTTAATATGTCGGATTCACATGCCTCGAGGCAGAAGCAGCACGGAAACATCACCATATGGAGACATCAGCGAGAACAGCTTGTTGATTACATTCTGTAGAAACCGAATAACTTTCTCTCATAATGTGCTTATTCAACATGTGCAGTAACTTATTTAAACCCCTCGGATGACTCAAATATTATGTTCTAGTTACCATTTGGAAAACAAATAATCTAACTGTAACCCACAAATGCGAATCTCCAGATAAAGTTTTGCAGTTGAGAAAAAAATAAGAAAATGTAGGCCTACACTGATCCACTGAAAAGTTCTCACAGTGAACTAGATTAGTCTCCTCGCCCAAAGCACCTCGAAAAAATGGCTGCCGAGGAAGGCAAAGGTTGGTGTTACACTTGGTGTCCACACATGTTATGTTCAAAGAATAAATTGTGTGTTTGTAAGGAGCAATTAGTATTCTAAGAGACACATTAGGGGACACTATTAAAGTCTGTGTGATCCAATAAAGCTGAAAGTCAACAGTGAGCTCCAGGGGAGAGCAGAATGAGAGTTGTTCTGATTTGCGGTTATTTCACCCATCTCATCGCAACACACACACACACACACGCACGCACACACACTCACACTCACATTTAATTCAGTGCTCCAGCCTCAACACAGAACACAGTCTTACTCTGCATTTGTAAACAGTGTGGTGTTGTTTAATGGCGTTGAACTGAAGCATGGAATAATGTGTAGAAAGCTAATGGCTAAAGCAGCATGTCGTCCTCTAATGTTTGCGCACAGAGGAGATGTTCTACCAGTGTGGCATTCAGGTTGCATGACAGTAACAAAACCACTACATATCCAAGTCAAACTTTTCTTATTGAGCCAGCAAATGTTTACCTTGTTACACGCTATACTATCAGAAACTCCAGAGTCCCGAGTCCACACTATACATGCATCTATAAATCAGATATGAGCTCCAGGTTGACGGGCGCTCATCTCTGCTCCAACCCAAAAAAATTAAAACTGCACATTTGGGCACGCATTAAAGCTGAAAAAATGTTCAACTTTTCAGCTCAAGACAAGTCACAGCGCTCGTCAATGTCGCTTTCAGCCAATCAAATCCATTAAGAGGCGTTCCCTTCACAATTTTTTCCCCTCATTGTCTGGGAGCAAAGCAACAGCAAGAGCTATACCTTGCATGGCTCAAATCCACTTTTTCACACTTATATTATTTGGTTGCCCGCTGCATGCCTGTGTGCCGCAACACCACTACACAGGTGCTCCCAGCTGTCATAAATGGCTAGGTGTGGAATTGAATGTTGCCAATGTCCCTTTTCAGATGTGTCATAGGGCGCTGTCACTCATGTTTTAATTTTCTATGGTTCTTCTACGCCAGATTTTATTAAGCAGGTGTAAGCCAATCACTATTGTGACTCCAGTTCTATATTGCCAGTAGTGTGTTTTGCTTGTCCTATTTCCTTAAAGGTCAACGTTGCAGTTTGTTTCACTCTTGCTGTTAGATTTAAAGGTGCATGCTTTTTTTTTCAGGGCCCAAACCAATGTTCTTCATTCTGCTTTCCTGTGTCCATTTATAGAGCAGGGTGTTAAAGGATATAAACTGTGATTAGCTGTCCTGTTGGCTGCACACAGAGACCCCCCCCTCGGTCACCACATGCACAGTGCAGTTTCAGTGTGCAGTCATCTCTCAGCTTGTGTCTCATTGTGCTGTGTGCGACCTGCTGCTGTCCTGCAGAGGCTCCCCGCTCCTGACTGACCTCCCGCTGTCACCCTGTCCCCGCGCACATATCTACAGCACGTTAGGCCTCTGATGAGCTGTGAGCCGCCACAAAGCAATACAATCAATTAGGAATGAGCATGCATAGCAGGCTGCTCTTGCCGGCCGGGTAAGGTTTGAGTTCTAATTTCACTCGCTGGCCTATTGATTTTACTGAGAACAGCTGACATCCCTCTCCTACTTATGAGAAGACTCAAGAAACTAATGACGATCTAAAAATAATGTTCTTCCAAAACACTATCATGGTAAGGAGCGTGTAGAGAAAGGGACAGCAGTTCTGTTGTTGCTGAATTAACTGTGGCACCAACAAAAAAAAAAAAATGTACGGCTATAATTTAGTTTAGAAAATCTCCATGAGAATAAAAAAAAACTCTTATTCCCCTATTTAAAAAACTCATGACTCAAGAATCGAACGGAAATCCAGAAAACATACAACCTCAATGACTTGCTGTTTCTGTGCCTATTAGGGCGGCAACCAACCAAGTGAATTAAGCATTTTTTGTCTCAGCAGCACTTCCAGGAGGCAGGCTGTACTCAGGCAGCAATTTTATACTAGAGGGCCATGAGGCACAGGCAAAGTCCAGGAAACCTTTGTTCTGATTGGTCATTATATATCCAGGTTAAACATAATACAGCTGTGATTTTCAACACATATAATTATAAATACAATTTTACATCATCACTAGCTGTATCGAAGAACTTAAGTGGACAGTTAATCGCTACTAAGCATGTCGTGCATTTTTCTCTGTGTAAACCAAAATTTGTCAATGAAAGTCATGCGAAAGAAAATGAAGAGGAATTATCTGTGTGGTTGTGAAAAAAGAATGAGAGGAAAAAGGGGAAAACAAGTAAGCGTCAGGAAACTGGCAGACACAATGCTGATAAACGCTGATAAATACATTTTTGCTTAGGGCCCCGACAGACTCGAGAATTGGCCCTGTTGACAAGGTCATTCAAGAAATCTTTTTTGAAACGTTCCTCTTGCACTCCTCCCTTGAATACGTTGTGTTGTATTGTCCACATATTCAGGAAAAATAAAATTGTGAGCATGTAGCTCAGAGTGATTAACAGACAGAGAAGTATCATGAAACGTCTAGTTCATGTCAGCCATACAGAAACAAAAAGAAAACAGGTTTCAGCCCACAATTAAACTGTTTTGGGGTAAAATTACAACTTTGTTTTTTTCTTTCAAAGAATTTGTTGAACATCCCTTGTTCAGAAC